AGAAGCAATCCCGCAAACCCGGAGCCGGGATCACGCTGGGCAGCTGCTATTTCTCAGCCCGTTCCTTGGGGATGTATTTCTTGTTCCCATAAATAGGAGGAAAAAGAGGAAAAAAAGATCTCTGAGATCTGAGGCTTATTACTGATGTCTCCTGTGCTGCTGCAGTTAGACGAGAGCAAACAAATCAGTGCTGTAACCTCGTTTTGGCACCTCGCTGCACTAACATTAAGCCATAACCAGTTCTATGGCCAGCAAAACTCACTCACCCACATGCAAGCCCCGTTTTTTTTTCAATTTAGCTAGTAATCCGTGGAATTTTGTGTGAAGAGGGCCAAAGATCCAATTGCTGTCTACTACCAGGAGCAAGGCTCTTCTGCTTGCCTCTGTAAACCACTTTTTGCTACCTTGGGCCTGCTGATGCTGTTTCCTACTCACAGGGTCCTGCAAGCGTGAGTCGAGAGTGAATTGAAGTTGCTAAAAGGCATTTTCCAACCTCCACGCTCTCCCTTCCAACACAAAAAAGGCATCTCCCAACTCCTGTGGCTCTAAGACAGCTGAAAGCAAATTTCTTTTGCTTTCAGGGAGGGAGAGAGCATGAGGAATTGCTTCCTTTGCTGCATCTCCGGGTGCCTCCTCCCACGCGCTGTCTCCCATACCTGATCCATGGGTTTCCATGGGTGCCTTGGGCACCCATCTCTGCCCATAAAACACCTAAGGGGGGCCCACAGCCCGGAGAGCCCCTCCAGCCACCCACCAAGCACCAGATACTGTCACCACCCGCATGGGATGGGGTAGAAACTGCTGCCTCCCCCTATTCAAAGGCTGCCAAAGTGGCTTAATGGAAAAAGAAGCAAAAACCAACCCCAAAACACCCGAGAAGCAGCCTCAAACTCCATCAGGGCTGTGTCTGGCTGGTTTGTAGCTCAAAAGCAAGCAGCAGAGCTGCCCACACACGATCCAGAAGCCAAGGAGAGCTCCAGAGCCTTCAGAGCAGACAGATCTGCAAGGCCGTTTCCCTGTGGATCTGCCAGCCGGGCTGCCACGAGGCCCCACTGGTGGCAAACGCGACACTTAACGGCATTCTACACTGCAGCTCCGGCACTTACACTAAACGTGATGTTGCAGGGCAGCTCCCAGAGCATTTTCGGAAGCATTTCGCTCCCCAGGCCGCTCCTCGCTTTCCGTTCTTGTCCACAACATTTGATCGACAGCCCCAGCTCGAGGAGCTGCTGTGAAAACCTCAGCGTTAACCTGAGCCTCGGGCAGCGCCGGGGCAGGAGCGCCGCGACGCGGACGCTTCCCGGGGCTCCCACCAGGAGAATCCAAACAAAAACACCCCAAGGGACGAGTCCAGGTAGGAGAGGAGAAGCTCACAGGGAACAATCTTTGGGGACTTCTGGTTTTGTCCCATTTCTATATTACCCGTGACTGTGAGGTTGCCGGCCCCGCTGCGTGAGGTGATGCAGAAGGCCTCAAACAACAAAAAAAAAGCAACAAAAACCTGCATTTTGCTGTGGACGAGCGATCAAACTTCCAGTCTCTGCAACGGGCCTGCACTTTTCAGACCCATCCAAACACAGTCTAAAGCCTTAACTATTTAAGCTATGGTTTGATGCTAAGCGAGTTTCTTTTCCAAACATGGGTGAAGAAATTATTCCAAAGAATGTGATTTTTTTTTTTTTTGAGAAGAGCAAAGAAGAAACCCTAATTTTCAAGCAAGCTCGTGGGGCTGGGCTCCCCTCTACGGCAGGAGGGCTCCCGTCACCCCATCTCACATCACTCACCTCCTTATTTCCCAACAAAACTGAACTTTCAGAGCACGTTGCCTAACACGTTCTATTGCTTCATATTCAAAAAGCGGCAAAAAGTTCAAGCTTACACACCGGGGAAAAGAAAACTCAATACAAGGAAACTGAGGAGCCTAAAGGATGATTTTATTGTTGCAAGTTGTACTTGGAAAAGATCAGGCCGTGCCTTACAGCTGGAGTGCCAAAACGAACAGCAATCTCACATCTTCTGAGACTTTTTATCTGCCACGAGACCATATGAAAGGAAAGTTGCATTTTAATTACTGACATCTGGACAAATGAATTGCAACATTAGGAGACAATCCTTTGCAGAGGGTATCTCCGACCAAAAATCAGACATTCAGACCGTTTGTTAACAAGTTTTAAGAGGAAACTACTGCAAGCAGCTGGGACATGACAAACACCTGCTTTCTCGATGAGTTTTTAGAAGACACCAGGTTTTTTTCCAGGTGAACAGCAACACAGCTCTCTACATAAACTGAATCATACTGATTTTGTGCCAACTCCCTCTGTGTTTGACCCGTCGCTGTTGGCAGAGAGGCAGGAGCTGCAGCAGTGCCAAGACTCAGCGGCTCCCTGTCCACTGAAACTGCAAGGCAGTTTCACAGCAAATTAGTTTTCCAGCTTTGGGAAATCCAGGAGAAAACCCCAGCTTCCCTGTGGCAAAAGTGCAGGCACCAGATCAACACAGAAGAGGCCACATGACACGGGATGGGTCGCTCCCGCAGAGGGGATTACTCAGACGGAGGCAAAACATTATTGCAGATGGATAATGCTGAGCCAGGAAGGACTTGCACTCGTTCAGTGCTCTTGTTTTTGGTTTATAAAGTGCCATTTACGGCGTTATACAAATAATTATGCTCTGCTTGCGGCCCTGCTCCGAATGCTCCGAGATCGCTCCAGCTGCTCTGAGCGACCAGCAGGCAACCACCACTCAAAACCAGGCAGCTAATTGTCTTGAAACGGGGAGATCTGATCCCAAATTAACTTGTGTCTGTATTTTGCTAACTGACTATTTCCTGGTACTCATTCCACACTCAGTTTTCCAGCTAAGGCACTGCCGTATCCTTCTGCTCTTCCATCCACCCTCACCCAAAGCGGCCAGGAACCTCTGTGCTCTACAAAATACCCTAATTCTGAGGGAGGCAATAGAACATTTTTTCAGTCTGTCACCACGACTTCACTTTAACTGATTACAATCGCAAGAGGAGTTACAGCACATTTAATAGCTAAGCTATGCTTGACCCTGAGGTTAACCACATGTCATCATCTCGTATTAGATCAGGAATTGGAGAGTCGAGAAGTTTACTTACAATTGCTACTTAAGATCTGAAAGCAAAGCAAGCTTGC